AGAATGACGATCCTTTGGCCTGCTGAAGTTTCGTCCGATGCGATTGATCGATTTTTGGAATATTTATTAGGCGAATGAGAAGTCACAGAAGTAGAATCCATTGCTGTTTGGTTTGAGAGAAAAATGTCTATGCAAGTTTTCTGCATGCTTTAAGGGTTTTGATTATTATGCTTGCAGAATTTTTAATATTGTAGAATTGATTGAGCAGAAATTTTGATGAGCTAGAAGCAGCTTCGATAAACTGATACTTGTGTATGAACTCGTGGTTATGGATCAAGGATGAAGTGAAACTAGCATTTAAGAATTGATAATTATAGCATTCATGCCTATATACTTAAATCTAGGATGGATTCTGATGCTTGCCTTCTATAGAGTACGTCTTTATTCAGGAAAAAAAAAACACACACACACACACACACCAGAATTCAGAAACTACAATTTCTTTGTTTGGTGCAATAATAATGGTTGAGGTAGTAGTATATCTCATAGCAGATAGTTTTCTGGTTTGACGATTTCTTCTTAAGTAATAGATATATTAAATGAACTTAATCCGATGTGAATTCCTATATCTAATTATAGTGATTGATTCCCGGGAATGGATGCCATTGTTTTTTGACTTCTGTCCTAGTTTGATATTTGATTTTACGAAACCAAGAGGTGTTGGGTCTGTTTTGGTAGAATTAAGAAGCTTGAAGACAGAAGTAAATGGCTGGACCGAGGATTGCTCATGCTACCTTGAAAGGGCCAAGTGTTGTGAAGGAGATATGCATTGGCTTCGTACTTGCTCTTGCCGCTGGCAGTGTGTGGAAGATGCATCACTGGAATGAACAGAGGAAAGTCAGGACCTTTTATGATTTACTAGAGAAAGGTGAGATTAGTGTTATTGCAGAGGAAGAGTAAACCTCATGCCTTGTGTCTGTGACATCCATTTATCAGCCATTTTTCTACTATTTGATGGGCTCTTTAAATCAGATGAGCTGAACTTATTGTAAGATTTAAAAGAATAAGTTTCATGCACTGAGTTGTGGACTATATTGTTGACTTGGAAATTTTATGAAGTTTTGCTCTATTTTCTTTCCGTGCTTCCGTGATGCCTTTACCGCTTTTCATAATTGTATTTGTTTTTGTTATATTTTCCTTTGGGATTTGCAACTCACTTCTAAACCAAGTGTTTGACAAGCATACAAAAAGTAATATCACAAGTCTGAGCTTTTGTGGGAATCTGAAAGAAGGTATTTATCTATCTTGAAGATATGAAACGCGGAATTCTGGGATTGGACAATAAGTTTTATGGTTGTTCCAACGGTTGTCGGTGCAATGCTTGATGATTGTTAATAGCTCTTTTTTTCTTTTTGGTTAGCCTCAAATGACTGGTAAGTGGTTGAAGGCACCTGCTTTTTGCCTTTTCCTTTCACTTTCACTTTGAGTTGTGGTTTCCAGAAGCCTAAGTGAGTTTTGTTGAGTGACTGGACGTAACCCCGCATACATGAATGATAGTTTGGTACAAGGACGCGGGATGAACGCAAAGCTAATGCTTTGCTTGGATCCCTGAATTTAGATAAACTTTGAAGAGGAATCTGTGAGGGAAATGGTGAGATTAAGCTCTGCCCGGACGCTCAATTAGTGATGGTACTCACTTTGATTTAGAAAAGGTAAAGGATGGTTAATATTTGAATAAAATTTGACGTGGGCAGTTTGCTGGGGTGCACTAAACCTTGAGTGCTAGCAGAATCAGTGCGAGCAGCTCCTCTAATTTCCGATACCCATGATCAAGGCATTTGGTTGACCAGATGAGAGGGGCGTCTAGACTTGCTAGCTAGTTCACGTAAATTATGCGCGTAAGTAGACATGAGTAGCATCCCTGTTATGATTACATTGATAACAACAAGTTCAATATTTCAACGGAATGCTGTGAACCGTCTCCCTTGAATTCTGGCTAAATTAAGTGATGACCCTCATCAAACATTTAGCCGAAAAGGATGAGTTCAATTCCAGAACAGAAATCATTTTCACACAACTGCACAAGTGATTCTGTGATCATGGGGTTCCTATGCGGCGAACTGCCATTAGCTTTTGTACCACCTAAATGAATACTACCTCCGATCCTTATTATAAGACCCCGTTTGACTTTTTGTTTGGTCTTAATTATAAGACCCCAATCCATTTTATCTCTCATATTTATGTATTTTTTTCCAAGATAATCCTTCTAATAATGATAGTTCTAGCCAATATACTTAATTAGCAAGGATATTTTAGTAATGACAATATTTATTTATTACAAATAACTAATTTAACTTACTTCCTTAATCTCCTCAAATAAGTCAACTGGGTCTTATAATTAGGACCGGAGGTAGTATTATACCTCAGGAATGTTTCTGTTTTCAGACACGTTTTCTCAACACCCGGCTTCTTTCTGCAAGGGATTAATGTTGTACTATCTCCGATTCTCAGTTACACTACAAACTAGTTTTTATATTTATGCATTCAAATTGCCATGCGGGGTCGCTTCTCTTCCATGTATATTATTCGTCAAACCAGGTTGCCAGTAGGAAAAAAGACAGAAAAATGCACCTTTAATTTCAAAAGCCCAAAAACGTCCGTCCAATTTCACAAATCCCATTTTGGTACCATGAGACCAAATTGGGATTATTATGTGAAAGGAAAAGACCACATTGCCCTTCATTTTAAATATTATTTTTAAAATATCACAGCCCCTACTGGCTGGCCGGTCACCGAACCTCCGGCAGCGGCGGTCACCGGAGCTCCGGCGACCAGCCGACAATTGGTCATCAGAGCTCCATCGGTCGGATTTTTTTTTTTGAAAATTTTTACAACTTCAATATAACGGTTAACAACTTTTGTAATGCTATTAACAACTTCAGTATAGCAATTAACAACAGCTTTTCTGGGAAATTCAACAAACTCCAGCGACCGGAAACAATTATTTTGAAAATTTTTACAACTTCAATATAACCGTTAACAACTTTTGTAATGCCATTCACAACTTCACTATAGCAATTAACAACAGGTTTTCTGGGAAATTCAATAAACTCCAGCGACCGGAAACAATTTTTTTGAAAATTTTTACAACTTCAATATAACGGTTAACAACTTTTGTACTGCTATTAACAAGTTCAGTATAGCAATTAACCACAGCTTTTCTGGGAAATTCAACAAACTCCGGCAACCGGAAACAATTATTTTGAAAATTTTTACAACTTCAATATAACGGTTAACAACTTTTGTAATGCCATTCACAACTTCAATATAGCAATTAACAACAAGTTTTCTGGGAAATTCAATAAACTCCGGCGACCGGAAACAATTTTTTTGAAAATTTTTACAACTTCAGTATAACGGTTAACAACTTTTGTAACCCTATTAACAACTTCAGTATAGCGGTTAACAACAGGTTTTTGAGTTATATAATTTTTCAAAAAAATCTGAACTCAAAAACCTGTTGTAACCGCTATACTGAAGTTGTTAATAGGGTTACAAAAGTTGTTAACCGTTATACTGAAGTTGTAAAAATTTTCAAAAAAATTGTTTCCGGTCGTCGAGTTTATTGAATTTCCCATAAAACCTATTGTTAATTGCTATATTGAAGTTGTGAATGACATTACAAAAGTTGTTAACGGTTATATTGAAGTTGTAAAAATTTTCAAAATAATTGTTTCCGGTTGCCAGAGTTTGTTGAATTTCCCAGAAAAGCTGTTGTTAATTGCTATACTGAAATTGTTGATAGCATTACAAAAGTTGTTAACCGTTATATTGAAGTTGTAAAAATTTTCAAAAAAAAAATCCGACCGACGGAGCTCTCGTGACCAATTGTCGGCTGGTCGTCAGAACTCCGGTGACCGCCGCCGCCGGAGGTCCGGTGACCGGCCGGCCAGTAGGGGCTGTGATATTTTAAAAATAATATTTAAAATGAAGGGTAATGTGGTCTTTTCCTTTCACATAATAATCCCAATTTGATCTCATGGTACCAAAATGGGATTTGTGAAATTGGACGGACGTTTTTGGGCTTTTGAAGTTAAATGTCCATTTTTCTATCTTTTCCCTTGCCAGTACGTACCCATCTTCCGTTGCTTTTAATTTTGTTGAAGTGAGTTCCGTGGCCTTGCATTGCAGTGCTGGAGACCAATTTTTTCATGGCCGACCAAGAAATGTAGACCAAATTAACCAATATATTTGAGAGCCCGTGTGAGTATGAACAATGAAACTAGTATGGCCTAGGAGACAACTTGCGTCGCCACAGAAAGATGCTATAAATTATATTAGTAAAGAGAATAATTTAAGATGGATAAAAAGACTTCTAATAAAAAAGTCGAATTTATATTTATTTTAATCATTTTCAGGCCAACAAAAGTATTTCTTTCAATTATTTGACTGTTTTATTTATTAGTTAGGTATTTCCTTTCCTCACCATCTACATTACTATTCGAGCGTGGTTTTTTTTTCCCTAGAAATCCTTCTAATGGGAATTCGTTTATATTTTTTTATTCCAAAAATTAATTTGTGCACCATCAACACTTTTATATTAACTTTAAGACTTGAAAAAAAAAGACAAATATGTTTTCAAGTTTGTGTCCTATTATTGACAGTTATTGTTGGGCAATTAACATGTGGGTGGCGGAAAATACAGGAGCGTGTAGAATGCAGATGGACGGTTGATATTTTCACCTGCAGACAAAAATTTAGTAGACAAATGGCATCAAACGTACCAAAATATCAAGATTTTTCCCTTTTTTTTTGACTCCTCCACGCACCCGTAGATCTTCCTCCCTCCCGCGATACATTAGCCGACGGAATCCCAGTTGTGGCCTCCTATCATCCCCTGCATGTGGAAGTTCCAAAAACAAGATTTTTCATTCTTTTCCCGCAGCAAAATATCTCAACACGATTCCACGTGGCAACACATAACTGGTCGTCACATGATAAGAAGTTTGTGATTTTTAAACCCGGCTGCCAGGCTTCATCTATATATCTGCATGTCTTCAATTGCCTTCTCCCCATTAAATATCAACTCAAGAGAGGAACAAGAATGGCAACAATAAGCGGTGTGAGCCTTTCAAGTCCGAGAATTGTGCCCAGGGCATCCGACTCGTCGCAAAAGTCACACACCGTCAACTTCCCGCTGCTACTCGCCCAAAGGTGTCCGGCCAAGTTTGGTTCCGGGCGAGTACTTGCTTCCGTTCGACCCGTGCGTGCTGCTCCGGAAGGAATATCGGGCAGTGTTGAAGAAAGCATAAAGAACGCGGAGGAGGCATGCTCGGGTGACCCGGCGGGCGGTGAATGTGCGGCGGCATGGGACGAGGTGGAGGAGCTGAGCGCGGCGGCCAGCCACGCGAGGGACAGGAAGAAAGAATCCGACCCACTTGAGAACTATTGCAAGGACAACCCGGAGACCGATGAATGCCGCACGTACGATAATTGATAGCCGCATGTATGTGAAAATCATCGGTGGTGATCATGTTAGCTTTGGTATATATATTAAAAAAAAAAAATCATATCATCTTTGTCTGTTACATTGTATAAGCACATAGCTATTAATTATTATTTGAGCGTGAAATAATCAGTAACTCTTATCTCTGCGATTTTTTTTATGTTTATTTTGGTGAAAAAATACTCTGACTCTTAATATAATAGCTAGTTTGACTTTTAATTTGATTTTAAATATAAGACTCCAATCTATTTTATCTCTAATATTTATCTATTTTACTCTCAATTAATTTTTATAATAGTTGCATATGTTAAGAAGTCACTATCAACGGAGAATTCAAATACACATAATTAATAATGGTATTTTAGAAAAGATAACATTTATTTACTACAAATAACTAACTTAACTAACTTCTTTAATATCTTTGAGTTAGTTAAATAGATCTTATACTACCTCCAGTCCTAAATATAAGAGCTAGTTGACTAATTTGAGTTAATTAAGAAAATAAGTTAAGTTAGTTATTTGTTATAAATAAATGTTCTATTTTCTAAAATACTCTTGCTAATCAAGTATATTGGTTAGAATTATTATTGTTAAAAGGATTATTTTGAGAAAAAAAAATATGAGAGACAAAGTGAATTGAAGTTTTATATTTAAAGTCAAAATAAAAATTAAATAAGGTCTTATATTAAAGGTAGTAGTAAAAAAGATCATTTTATATATAGTAATCCGATTACTTACTTGCCTGATGATTGAAACTGGTGAAATTGCTCCCCGCAACGGCTGCTTCACTGAGAAACTTGTATGGAGAGCAAGCGGTTCAAATTCAACCTTCAAAGTAATCCTTTTGGTGAGACTTACTTGGGAGTTTCAAAATTTGAGGAGCTTTAGATGAGGATCCTCTCCCGTTATCTCTACTTCACGTTTGCTACCTTGTTAATATAAGCACATGACCATAATTCATAAGCAATTCCCCATTTCTTCAAGGGCTCATGGCAACTTCTGGGTGCAGTAGGCATGGCCCGAGATATGAATGCTTTTATTTCTCTTGATGTAAAGGGGAAACACTGGCAACTTCGCGTGCTCTAGATATTAGGAGGGATTCGACTAATAATCTAATAAAAAAATGTTTATTATTATTATTATTATTCAATCACGTCTTGAGTTTGAATATTACAAATACAAAATATGTTTTTGGAGAGTTACTCTTATAAAGAATAGCGAAACATGATATTAATGCTTGGCAAAATTTTTTAAATAAATTCTTATTTTTTAACGGAAAAAAAGTAAGCACTAACACCCTAAAATAATAAACAGGATTGAACCTCTTAAAAGGAGGGATTAGAAAAAAGGGGGTTGCCGAGTATCCTTTCCCTTCAGGTCAGGGGAGGTTTGACCTGAGATAAAGCAATGCAGAGGAAACATGTACCAGTATGATATTTGGCGGTGGTAGTTTAACCCCTTCTTTGCCAATCAAGACACGCTAGCCGGCTATTCTTTCCCCACCACGGTTTAGCTAGACAACTACCCCAACAATAAAATTAATTCATAACTTCTATCAAATGCTTTTTATTGAATCATAATCATTATGGCTGCAACATTTTAAAGATTCATGAATCTAATTACATTGAATATGACTCATAAAAGAAGCTTCTGAATAATCTACAAGAATACTGGAATCCGCTCGAAGGATACTTTACTATGGTACCCAGCTCGCTTTGCTTGGTAATATTATGTAAACAGCTTACTACCACCGACACTATTAGAGGCACCATCTTCTTATTTTAAGAAATTATCCGTGATGATTGATAAAGTCATACAGTTTTTCGGATCCATTCGTTTTATTTCCCAAACGGGCATGACTGTTTTACGTCTTAAGTTGTTAAAGCCGCGTTTTATGGAGGCTAAATGGAGAGGATGAGCGAATAGGTTCACGGGAATATCGGAATCAACTCGAATGATACCTCGCTGTCGTTTCCCAATCCATTCATTTTAATTCCCAAGAAGCTCTTTGCAAATTGGATGAAGGCGCACTGTCAATCGAATGATGATAGCTTCAAACATATGATTCTGTATTTTATTGAATCAACTCCATCGAATGATGAAATCTCCTCTTTAACATCCACTTGGGCTAGTCGCTTTGGTAGATTCTGTTTAATGAACTTTCTAACTCGCAGCACAAACTGGCGCTAATTTAAATCCAGGAAATTTCAGAAATTGAAAAGCAAAATATGAGAAAAATGTATAGAAAACCTCGTCATAGCAAACGCATGCTTGATTCGTCATGACTTCAACGTAAAACACTACCTTGATGTCTCAGAACTGAACGATATTTCAGAGCAGTGCGACTGATACAGACTTCCAAATCACCATTGGAGTGCTATAATGAACAACCATTGGTCAATACCCGTTATTTTGCTGGTAAAGACAGAACATACATAGAAAATAATAAATTAAAAGAACATAAAAGCACGCATATTTCACAAGCCCAGACAACATAGCACCAATAATCTACGAACCACACCGACAAACCACAGGAAGAATGACAAAAGCACTCCTAATATTTTGACTTCACTGGCTAAAGAAACCCAACAGAGAACTAACAGACTCATCAGAACCCAACAGAACAATTGAAATACATCATACCAACAGACAACTCGGAAGGGATAAATGACTAAATGCACAAAATAAGGAGCCTCAGGTCAATGCAGGCCGAAGTCTGACGAAGCTGTGATCGGCTGTATCGGATAAGGAAGCTGCCATGGCTTCAGGAGAGGATCTGGTATCTCGGGGATCTCAACAGAAAGCCCGCTGACCTCTTCAGCGATCTCAAGTATTGAGTTCAGAAAGCGCAATCGTTCGAACAACTCCATAGTCTGCGCCCTAAGGACAGTGTTCTTGGATTCCATCTCATTGTATGCGTCCTCCTTTTCCTTTATGTTCTGCACTAACTGACTGTTTGCACTTTGCAATCGGCTGATCTCATTGGTCAGATCTTCCAGTTGCTTCTGCTTCTTCATCCGTGATCGCCTCGCCGATTCACGGTTAGACTGCATCCTCTTTCTCTTCCTCTCGTCCACAACATCAGATCTTGGGTCATCAGATCCCGAACTTGCTGGACGGTGATTCGAAGCCATTTTCCTAAAACTCAAAAAAGGGCTTTCCTAATCGAATAACTTACTCGAATGGGTGACGGTTGATAATTAATCGAAACTGGATTGTGAGATCTAATGGTCAAAATACAAAATAAAACAAGGAATCAAACACCGAAGGCGAGAAATCAAGGGATTGACAGGTAGTTCATGAGAAAACGTAGAACCAGTACAGAAACACAACAGAGAAGGAGTGCAGCAAACGAAATCGACGCATGGCGTAGGTCACAGAAACTCCGAAAACATTGATGTGATCTGCAAAGGCATATGCCCTCAAAGCACAAATCAAATCCAATCAAACGATGACAAACACCCGAAACCCTAGGTCTGAGAGAAGCCTGACTATCAAAGACCCGATCTTTCGAGAAGGACAATAATCAAAGCAAATGAAAGAGATGGTGAGAAGAAAAAGAGAAACAGAGCGGACAAAACTACGGCCGGGCGGGAGTTGGGCGGAACGCAAAATGGGGGCTAGGTAAATGGGGAGAAAGAAGGCTTCAAATGTCGTCGACGGGAGAATTTTATAGATCAGAAGAGGCAAGGAAAACGTGGAACGCACTAGAAGGGTTGAGGTTGATTATTATTATTATTTTTTAAATCAAATTTCAATTACAATGCGGATCTTGAGGAATTATATTTATGTAGAAAGGCTGGCTCAAAAGGAAATAAAAGTCCAGGCGGACATAACCAACGACGTCGTTCGGTGTAATGGCTTTTCTTGCCGTACAGTGATAAACAGGGCGCACGGTGGTTTACTCTGTGTTTTTTTTTTTTGAGCAAAACGGTGGTTTACTCTGTTTGACTGCGTTCAATTGAGGTATTAACCGGTAGCATTTCTTTCTCCTTCCTTCCCCAGTACAATATACAGGACTACCGGACTACCGCCCCGGGCGGACCTCGTTGAACAAAACAATTTCAGTTCACAGATCGGTGCAGTGTCTGCACAGATTAGGTCGAAGAAAAGAGGAAAATGGGGACCGATGAAGTATCGTTAAACGATAAAGCTAAGCGAACGAGAGATCTTCTCTCTAGTTTCTACTCTCAGGACCCTTCCGTGTCGTCCAACTCCAGCATTGGCTCGTCCAGATCCCTCACTCTTGATGACATCAACTCCACCTCCTTCGATCCTGATCACTATATGAATAACCTGGTAATTCTCATTCTAATTGATATCAACCCCCACCCCGGGAGTGTCTTTTGTGGTCGAAATTGAACTGTTTTTTTTCTCACGGAAATTGAGGAAGAAAGTGAATAGGATTATTGCGAGTCGTTGTAACGGTAGAATGAATTTGAAGTTGGAGTACGAAGTGCTTGATTCTCTTGTGCATTTATCGGTAAATTATGAAGGTACACAAGTCGAATTTGGAAGGTCTGCTCCAGAGGCATGTTGAAATGGCGGCTGAAATAAAGAATCTTGACACTGATCTGCAAATGTTGGTTTACGAGAATTATAACAAGTTCATCAGCGCCACAGATACAATAAAGAGGTTTTCTTTTTCCTAACTATTATTCCTCCTTTTTGCGCTGCTTATTATTTTTCTAATTTATGCTTCTTTTTTGGTGGGGAAATGACTGCTTACGAACTTTTGATACATGAGTTACATGACATACGGTTTCCGAATCGCGCTGTCTACACTGTCATTCAAATGCTCATACAAATTTCCTTTCCTTTTGTCATTAAAAAAAAAAAAAAATCCTCCCTGTTCTTGGTGTGTGTCTCTTGCGTTTCAATAACTTGTTTCATTTATTTCTTCTCGGAATGTTTGATACAATTTGGTTTGCCAAACAGGATGAAAAGTAACATTTCCGGGATGGAGGCAAATATGGAACAGCTTCTTGAGAAGGTAAGCGCAGCGTCAATTTTTCAATCATGGTTTACTTGTTCTTTCTGAAAAATCAAAACAAAAGTGTTTTTGATTTGATCCTATTTTTTTATCTCCAATGCAGATAATGTCTGTGCAATCGAGGAGTGATACTGTTAACACTTCTCTTTATGAGAAAAGAGAGCATGTAGAGA